GGCACACACATGCAAAACTGCATTTGTAAAAGCAGTGTGTGCACGCATACAAAATCATCCCCCCTCATCCCATCACCACTACTGCTGCCTTTGCCAATCCACTGAGCTGGAAAGGTTGGGGACTGCTGGTTTGTATAATTGGTTTGGTTTCTTTGAAGCATACCCCATAAGGGGCTGAAGTCAGTTATCGTTAAACTTTTTAGGCCACACATAATTTTGACGCCTATGTGAAAAACTAAAACTAACATTTAAAATGTTAGAAATACAATTAATTTATGACATGTTTATATTTTGACAAATTTACAAATTTGTTATGGATAATAGGCAGTGAGGAAAGGATTGCAAGAGTGACTCAGATGCCTGCTTGCTGGCTTGAGGACACTGGTAGTTGACAGGTGAGCCCTCTTCGTCCCTGGAGACAGGGGCCCTTGCTGATATGCTGAGGTAGGAAGATGGGGTGCAGTTTGCTCCCTTTGTACCCTCTCCCATCACAAAAATGGCAGGCGTTCTGCAAGTCAGCCAAGGACGAGGAATGATTTCCAACACTCACTGCCAGTTTCCTATAAGTAACCTCAATAAGGAAGTTGGCAATACTTGGAAGTTCTGTTCCCACAGTTTTTGACTGCCTGTGATCTTTTTTTCTTCTTCAGTTTAGATAAAGAAATATCTCTGAAAGGATGACCCAGTGGGTTATGGGTTCTCTAGTGTGTCACAAGCTCTCTGGTGTTATCTAAAATTTTGATCTGTTCTCCACCCAATTCCTAAAACAAGATAAAGAAAATCCAATTAAAACAAACAAGTAAAAACATTATACTTGTTCATTTATTTATTGAGGAAAATTATTCAAAATGCACATGGCAACCCAAAACACACAAACAACCCAAAACACTTATATTATATCACTAAAGAATGGTAACAACAGAAGAAAGCTATTGTTTTGGAAGGGCCAGGTCAAGCCCTTCCCTTAATCTTATAGAAGTGTCATGGAAGGACCTGAAGTGGGCAGTTTGTCAATCTATCTGAATTGACGCTGTTCTGTAAAAAGAATGGGCTAAAATTCCTCCAAGCCAGATGAGCAATTATTGGAAATGTTTAGTTGCAATTATTCTTTCCCAACGGTAAGCACTCCAGTTACTAAAAGCCATGATTAACGTACTTTTATCACGTACATTAATGTAGTTTGGATCATTTTCATCAATAAATAAATGAACAAATGTTTTTGTCTTATTTGTTTAAATAGGTTCTCTATATGAGTTTACAACTTATGTAGAAAACATTCCACATTTTAGACCAAGTTTATGCAAAAACATTAAAAATTAAAAAGGTTTAAAACTTTTAAATACTATTGTCCATTATTTTTATAATATAAAAAACAGATAATGTAATTTTCAGTTAACTATATATTAGCACTAACAATATCTTTTCTGGAACTTTTCATTTGAAAGACTTTTAAAATCTTGTATTAGAAAGTAAAGCATTTCTTTCTACAGCTAGAAGTTGATGGTATAGCTAGAAGTGAGGTTGTGCTACTCAAACATTCCATGTCTCTGTCCAGTGTGTAAGAAAAAAAAAACATTGTCTCTTTTCAGTGACTAGTGGAATTATATGTAAAATAACATACAACAATACAACATTTAACAGAGGGTTCCATATGAACAGAATAAGCAGGGTTCCTTAATTTGGTATGATATGCTAAAAATAACTTTTCCGATTAGAAAAATGCAATTTAAATAAGAAAGGAGGTATAATTTTAGAAGACATACTCCAAGATAAAAGATTACCTGAAAGAGAGTATGTGTGTATATCTTAGAAACTAATATGCCTAGTGTGATGACACAACAGTGATGGTAATGATGTAGTTTCCATGGCAACTGGTTCACTGGAGGGCTAGACCTCTGTCTAGGGTGCTGTCAGTGTGTGTGGAGTTTCCAAGGAAGAAAGTCCCAAAGAAGGTCTGCTTCACCTAATCCAGTTTTAATTGAACTCCAGAGACTTTGAATTAAATCTACAGACAAGGCAGATACCATTCCAGCAAGGAATGAAGGCCTATTTTAGCTGCCTCCAGATTCCTAACTTGTTCAAGTTAATGCTTCAAAAATTTCTTAGATAAGCTTTTTTGACTATTCTGAAGTTATATTTAAGGTTCTATTCAAAGAAAAATTGTAATTATATCTATGATTTATCATTTAATATTAGGTAAGAACTGTTATTACATTTTCTGTTTTTATGATTAGCTACTAATTGAATAATCCAGGCTATGAACTAAAGGAATGAAAGTTGTAGTTTATAAACTTGAATTGCAGAGCTTAGTTCTGGATACAGAATTACAGATGTTAAATATTTCCTTTTGCCTTATAATATTTAACGATACAATATAACAGAATACCATTATTCTGGTCAATTGGTGGCAGTATACTGCATTATGCAAATCTAGAGTAACGTAGGGCTCTTGTAATTGCTTTATATTTTTAGAGGTAACTATGGAAGAGTAGGAGAAGTTACACATCTTCCATAATGTTCACTTTTGTACTGAATACTAGAAGTGAGGCAAATTTGAAAAACAAATTGCAGTAATATATGGAAGAGAAAGTATTTTCCAGGAAGAAATAAATCCTGAATGGAAGAATGTGAGGGACAAATTTTCTCTTTGTAAGATTCAGCACATTTAAGTAAAAAAAATTTTTTTCGGGAGTATGTAATGGAAAAGAGTAAACCAAAACCCAGATGGAATACAGGTTAGGGTGTTGAGCTAGATCCAGAGAATCCCAGCTGTGTTTATATTTATAGGATTGCTCTTATTTTTACCTCATCCTAAATAATCTTAGAGGTACAGTATTGAAATAATCTGTATGTGTCACCTTGAGTTCCAGATTGAAATAATATGATAGTTATTAGCAATAATGGTATTTATAGAACAGTAATGATTTCTGCAGGGGACGCAGTGGCTCAGTGGCTAAGACGCTGAGCTTGTTGATCAGAAGGTTGGCAGTTCAGTGGTTTGAATCCCTAGCGCTGCATAACAGAGTGAGCTCCAGTTACTTGTCCCAGCTTCTGCCAGCCTAGCAGTTCGAAAGCACATTAAAAATGCAAGTAGAAAAATAGGGACCACTTTGGTGGGAAGGTAACAGCGATCCATGCACCTTCGGCATTTAGTCATGCTGGCCACATGACCACAGAGCCATCTTTGGACAGCACTGGCTCTTTGGCTTAGAAACGGAGATGAGCACCACCCCTAGCCAGAAATGACTAGCCTGCATGTGTGGGAAAACCTTTACCGTTTCCCATTAATAATTTCTACCCTTACTTTGCTGTTTTGGTCATGTTCCCTCATCCTAGCAGTTACCTGTTTTTTTAAATGTGCATTATAATTATATATAAATAATTTTCAGTTTTGTTTAGTTCTTAAACTGGATGGTTCCAGATTTTATCATGGCAAAACTTTATGAATGATGACAAAAACCCCTCCCCACAGACTATCAAAGTAAAAATGCAAACTGGAGTTTGTTCCATAGAGAGTGGAACCAACCATGTAGAATGAGGAGCTGATGAATGGATCTTTTTGGAATTCCTCTCTGGAAAAAAAAAGGGATAGCACACAAGGGCTCCAGACAATAGTTTCATGCAAGTAAACGACAAGAACTTTGGTAGCTGAAGGATTTCCATCTTTGCTCAAACCAGAGTTGACATTTTCAAAAAGATGCTTCCTCTCTTAATCACAGGGATGGGATTCTACCGGTTCTGACGAGTTCTATAGAACCCCTTGTGAACTTTCTAAGCAGTTCGGAGAACCAGTAGTTAGAAGAAATCTCCTTTTGTTTTTTTCCACCGTTACTACATTCTTGACAGTACGCCTAGACTTACTGTCTTCGAAGGAGGTTTTTTTTTTTTACTTTCTTAAAAGGGAAGGGTTATTTTAAACTTTTTACACTGCTGTTGGGACAAGATACTTCCCTGGATATACTTCCAGCTACACGCAACAATCAGTATAACAATATAAAACTGGCTGATGTCTTAATAATTACAAGAAATAACAAATCAGAATAGTGATTTGGATAACTTTTCTCTTTTGGGCTTACAAAAGAGATTAACACATCTATTTTGTAAATTCAAAATAAGAAAGTTATCCAAATCACTGTCCTGGTTTTGAAAGAGTTTCTCAGAAGAGACAAAGAGAAAATGAAAAGAAATCAAGTTCTGGAATACTATTTAAAGAGTTAATGATCAGGATTGTAAAAAAACAAAGGAAAGGAATATAAAGTGGTTTATTTGATCAAAGTTAAAATATATATGTTGTTTCTGGTAACTCTTCATGATTTTTGCTGATTAGGACTGAATGATGAGATTGTAAGAGATTTTTTTTTTTAGACATAAGAGATATGGGAAGAAGATATCTTTTGTTGTAATATCAAAGGTGAAAAGTTGAAGAAATTCTTTGTACTGTTACTTGTTGTGATGTTTGGCTTATCTGAAACCAGTTGGCTTCTTTGATCAAGGTTAAAATATATATTGTATGTTGTTACTAATAACTTTTTATGGACATTTGCTGATTAGGACTAAAGGATCAAACTTTAAGAATTAGTTTATAGATAAGAGTAGAGATATAAGAAGAGGATGATATATGAAGAAGAGATCCTTTATTGTAGTATCAAAGAAGGTGATAAGTTATTGAAATTGTTTATGTTTGATGAAGGGAGAAATGACTTTTTATCTTTTTATTGACTATATTGATTATCAGGTTTTTTTTATTTTTGCTATGCACTTTTTCTATTTTTCTTAGTTTGTATTAATATTGTATTTTTTAACTGTAAATTTTAATAAAAATTATTGCAAAGAAGGAAAGTGTTCCCCATCCTTGAGAAATGATACTGATTCATTTTAATTGATTCTTAATTTTGAGTATAAAATAACTAAAGATAAACAAGCAAGGGTATGTATTATATACCTTTTCATAAATTAATGCTTATTTCAAAAATGCATCATTTGTTTTTATCTACTTGCAGATACTTGCATATACGGATGGACTGCATGGAAAATGGCTGTTTTCAGAGATTCGATCAGTATTTTCTCGACGCTATCTATTGCAGAATACAGCACTGGAAATCTTTATGGCTAACAGAGGTAATTCTGGAAGTGAGATCTTTTACGAGTTTGAAATATGAATCAACTTGCTTACTATGTCAGATTACATTTTCCAAATAAATACCAATCAGAAATTTTGAAATTTCTAGGACTTTCACACACAAATGGAATGCAAGCCCATCGAGAAATAAAAAAAAAAAAGGAAAATCTTCAGATCCAAGAGCCCTGACACCCATAGCCTCTGGCTCAGCCAGGGGTAGGGATGTATTATAGGATACTTATGATATTTAACACTGTGTTAATGAATGACCTTATCCAGCAGGTTTACATAGATGGTAAATAGAAGCAGAGGCAGTGTAAAGTCATGAAGGACCTCTCAAAGTAAATTAGATTAGATCTTTTCCCTCCTACCAAGAACTGGACCTGGAGAAAGGAAGACAACCGCCACAATACACCTCTTAATTCCTGCTCCCAAAGATGTCTAGAAGGGTACATGCTCAATGATACCAAAAGCCTCTGAAAGATCAAGAAGGGCCTGCCTGGATCCTGAACTTTAATGGATAATCCACATATGGAAATATTAATCCACAAGATGTACAGTGGAACCTCAGCTTGCGAAAGCTCCTGTTCGTTACCAAATTGGGTTCCAACCAAAAAATTCACCTGATTTTTGAATTGGGTCACAATTCAAAAATTGGGTGGCAAACAAACCCGGCCGCGGCGATTTCCCCTTCTGCACATGCACAGTTGGTTGTGCGCAACCAAATCGGTCATGACCCAAGGCTCCACTGTATCCCACCAATGAATGCCAGAAGTGATAAGATAGGAAAGAACACTGATTCATTTATCATTTAGGTTCAACAGCATAATAACATAATGATAAAACTAACTCACTGCTTGGTAAATTCCTTTGTTCCAATAATAATAACAAAACAATTCATTTTATGACTGTGTTGTTAACATTGTAACACTATGTTGGGATAGTATCTTAAAAATATGCATTGCATTTTCACTATGTCATATGATTTATTATTCCCAAAATCACTGTGTAACTGTAAATAACAATGAATAATGTCTAAATGTTTCTTGTACATAGTTGCTGTCATGTTCAACTTTCCGGATCCTGCAACTGTAAAAAAAGTAATCAATTGTTTACCTCGTGTTGGAATTGGAACTAGTTTCGGATTGCCTCAAACCAGGTATATTAACTCTTAACTTTTGAAAACAATTTCAACTGACAATGTTGCAATATAAAGTTGAAATATAGAAAGCAAATAGCCATAATCAGGAAAAAGATTCAAAATCTAGAAAAAGAAAGCAGTCCCTATTAAACTTTATTTTATTTGGTAACAGCAGACTGTGCCTTTATACTTGGGCATAGAATTCATGTACTATGCTAAACCATGATATATTTTATTTGTTCTTGACTTCTTTTGTGTGAATCCAGTTAGCTATTGTTTATTCAGTAAACCAGTTAAACAGACAATAGTTTTATGTAATCTGTGACCAGTCTTGAAGTCTACTAGAAAAAGAAATAACAATTGGTGCTTGCTAATACAACTTGTAATGATGTACAGAATTATTAAGAGAATGAATACTTTTATAATAGAGAATCTGTAATACAATTAATATGTGTATATGATCACCAGAAGAAAGAAAACCCCAAACATATACATACTATTTCAATATAATATGTGCATGTGTTCTCTCTAAATTGATAGGAGGAGAATCAGAGGACCAGGCATTGACACTTCTATGATGCTTTAAATTGGATACTTGAACAGGGCAGGACATCACATTCACAAATGTTCCCTTCTACTTTTATAATTCTATCATGTATGGATTTAAAAGGGCAAATTAGTTGAATACAGTATTTTAGAATCATTTCATCTTTACAATGAACCAGACTGTGCATGTTTATAGTCTGCAAATATTCATCTAGCAAACATGTTTTCTGAGTTCTGTGGTTACCCTATGTTTACTCTGAGGCCAGTTTTTTATAAGACAGAAATCCCTACAGCAAAAGTTAACCTGGCAGTGACATTTTAGGATTCCAAGAGTTGAGTGTCAACATCCATTTTATTATTTTTGGAACTCTCAGTGAAGAGCAGTAGTTAAGCACTTTAAATATCATAAATAGATATTATATTATGGTATATATCACAGTATATATCAATATCAGTTAATATATTTTGGACTACTTGCTGTACTAAAGCATCTCAAATCAAATTATTTCTAAAATACACAATGCAAGAGAATGAATAAAAACAATATAGAGATGTGTTTATACAGTATACACACACACACACACACACACACACATGAGTAAACAAAAATTTGTTGGCTTTTCAGAAGCTGAGATAACAACAGCTTTTTGAAACTTTTCCTCAGGTTCTTTTGGAGTAGAAGCACAATTCTAGCGTAGGCTTGCAAGTCACTGCAAGTTGTTATTCTTGTCATTCTAAGTGTGCACAACACAACTTTCCCAATTATCTCAGTGATATATTTTGGTTCCAGATTGCTTAGGGATTTAAGCTGACATGTCATAAAATTTTTGTATTTCAGACGTATTTCTATGGCCACTCCACGTCAAATCTTTAAAGCTTCAAATATGACTCAGCGATGGCAACACAGAGAGATTTCAAATTTTGAATATCTTATGTTTCTTAATACCATTGCAGGTAATAATGAAAATCCCTTAAAGATAATTTGAACAAGTTTGGCATATTTTCTGAAAATTAATTAGAAGAATTTGAGTCTCTCTTTTTAGATAAATGCTACTGCTCTTGCTTCTTACTGGTGCTTCTTAACATTTATAAAGAATCCCTGTACGTTATTTAATCACTTATTTTTCAACATTTATCTGCTTCCCAGCTCATAAAACTACAGGTGGTTGGCAATAATATAAAAATACAGAAATCAATCACTTGAATCCAAACTCAATGTTAAATATAAATGATTACATGGCAGCCCATCAATTATAAGTCAACGAAAAACTTTGAAAACATCTGCCGTATGCATGATTAAACAATATTGTTCTTACTGGGTGAAAATATCAGCAGGGAAGATACAGGGCATAGCCTTAGAGGAAATATTACTCTCTTTATTTTTAGTTATAGTGCGTGCCATATTTCTTTCTTGATATACCAAGAAATCTGCACTGATTATTGTTAACTCAGTATTATTTTCAGTATAATATTCATTTAGTTTGCAACTTTTAATTAGTTAACAATATTTTTAACAAGATGACTTCCTGTATCATTGGCTAACTTACTAAGCAACATGGAAAAGGTTACGTTCACTACATATTATGCAGTAAACAGCCTTCCACATTCATTCCTCTGGAATTCATTATTTGAGTCTTGAAAATATCCTGTATATAGAATTTTTAAAAGACAGATGGAGAATGAGAATTCTTGTCTACATTTTATTTCATAAAGTTGTATTTATTCCTATGAGATTTAGTAAAGGTTTCTTTAATTTTGTGCCTTCTAAAAAAAAAAAAAGCATCATTGCTCTTTCTCATCAGGGCGTACATACAATGATTTAAACCAGTATCCAGTATTTCCTTGGGTGATCACTAACTATGAATCAGAAGAGTTGGACCTTACACTTCCAAGTAATTTCCGGGATTTGTCAAAGGTACTTTAATTTTTATCAACTAAGTATACATGGAGTCCTTGGAGCCCTCTGAATGTGATTATTTGTTTCATTACCCAACTATGGGACTTGCTCCTTGTTTATACTTTGAGCCATGGTGGCACAGTGGTTAGAATGCAGTTATTGCAGTTTAACTTTGTTCATTGC